ATACATTTTCTATAACTATTTCTAGATAAATAACATTTCTTATCCCATTAAAATGTTAATAATTTTAAAAAATCAGGCATCAGAGGAAGAAAACAGCAGTTTTTAAATGAGATTTCATTTATTAGGTAAACATCTGAACCAAACTAGGCCTAGATTTAATTTTTTAATCAGTTTGTTTCTTTCAAGAAATAAACTAATATAACAACAATACACACACTCCTTCCATGAAAAGGAGCAGAAATAAGAACAATCTTATACATGCCCCTTAATTCACTTTACAACTGCGCATCAGTTTTTTTTTTTTTTTTTTTACAGTATTTACATTGATCTTTTCTTGGTTATCCTCATTGACTATGATTCAATTCTGGTAGTAATTAGAGTATTATATGAATATTTAAATGTTGAAAACATAATACCATCATTAATTCCATGCACTAATTTACATCCCATTCTAGCAGTTTTTATTTTTTCTATTTGAATAATTTTTGTGTCTATAATTCCTGGATTAAGTCCTTTCCCAAAATCAATTGTTTTTACGGTAAAGGTTTGTTCCATAATTCGAGTTTTGATGAAAAAGTTAGTTTTTCCATAAAACCAATAATGTCCAATCTTGGCAGCATCAGCCCTTATCAAGTAGTAGTTAGATGTGTTATGGCCTATTCTTTTTTTATGGTTTTAATTTGGTTACGTTTTGGTTTAAGAGCAAAAATTGCCTGTTTAAGATCATACCACAGCATGTCAATCTTTATTCGGGACTTTGCTATAACAATAGCTAATTTTGCTTGTAGACTTGTTAAGGTTCCTTTAATCCAAAGTTTTACTGCAAAGTCCAAGTAAGATTGAGCATAAAATGATGAACTACTAGCTGACATTTCCTGTGTTAAATATAATGCTTGATGTTTATGAAGCACATCTCCAAAAATATTAACATGTGTCTCTTTATCCAGACCAACTTTTCCCAAAAGAGTTAGGAATCATGGACATCTTTTTAGTAAAAGGAAATGGGTGAGCGTGTTGTTACCACTCAGTTGTGGCTCTGCCCTTGGAAATTACTAAAGGAAGTCACTTTTGCCCATTGTTTGTGTTTTTTTGTGTTTATTGTGGATTCAATCAAGCCCTGTAGTGGTTTACATTATGTCACATCTTTTTTAAATTGTGAATGCCGTGCCGGAGTTGTTTAATTATTCCTTGAGTGGGGAACCCAAACTGTTTTTTTTTACTCTTTTTTTCTCTATCTGTAGGTAATGTGTCCTCATTATGGTTTGCTACAATCAAGAAGTGCCACAAATGGGACACTTTCCACACTGATTTGAGGCTGCAGATTTTTTCCCCCCATTTATTTTGAAATTTCTTTAGATTGTGGCCCTATGCAATACTGTTTTGTTGTGTTTTTTTTATTTATTTTTTCTTTAGTACTATATGTCTGTTTGGAGCAAGGTCTGCTTATGGAAAGGGAAAAAGATCCATCACACCGTAATAAACACAGGTAATTTATGACTGAACAAGAGGGGTATGTATCTTTTCACATGAAGCCAGTTTGGACTGGGTAGTTGTTTTTCCCCCCCCTAAATAAAGTTCTTATAAAAAAAAATCTTTTTTTTTTAAAAGAAATTAAACAAAGTGGAAAAGTAAATACGGAAGAAATCCTTAACAAGGGAAATTCTTTTTTTTCACAGCACCAGGTTATATCTATAATTCTTCATTGCAAAAAAAAAAAAAAAAATGTGCTGGTTATTTGACACCCATAGTCTACTTTTTTGTGGCACAAATGTTGCGCTATTGTGGTAAAGCTTTTTCTGTTAAGTGAAGATTTACTGGAAGTAGGGAGGACGACACAGACGGAGTGAGTGAGGGAAAGTTAGAAGGCTGGCGGGGGGTAAAAGAATCATGTTTCTGTCCACATTAACTGTTTTTCCTACTACAGGAGAAGTTTTGAGAAAGCAAATTAAGTCTTGAGAAATATTTATAACTGGTA